CGATCCCTTTTAATAATCTGTAAATGGATGGCTAACAGTCTGTTGCTTGTGCAGTGAGTAATTTAAACTAAGTAGGACTAAGTAGGAACTAGTAAATAGGTGGGAATCTTAACGAAGGAACTTAACTAAGGCCAAGGTAATGTTAGTTGAATAGACAAAGTAAATTGGCAAATTAAAAAGTAAAAATTTATAAATTACAACATGCTCTTGAGCCTCCCTTTGACTGATGTTGACCACATAGTCAAAGCTAACACCTAACAAAAAAGTCCCCAAGTTGTGTTTTCTTGGAGGCAGCCTTTTGGTGTGGCATAGCCTCTATGATCAAACAGCACAATGCATGTGATGCTTGCGTGCCTTGAAAATCCACACTTGATATTTCTAATTTCCAAAGAGAAGATCAATCACCACTGACAGATGGCTGGACGCCATAAGTTTCGTAGTAAATACCAAGACTTTGAGTTAGCCATTAGAGATGCTGTAGCTGGGAACAAACAAAGCTCGACCGGGAAAAAGAAGTCCGTTGGTTGCTTCAGCAACCAGAGCAAAACTTTGAGTCGATGGGCCACAAACCTGGATTAGAGCAACACATTTCTCTGTTGGTACCATCGCCACTCGAAACTCAGGTGCAGTGAGCGTAGTCCAACTGAGCTATCCCCGCTCAACTAACCCAAGTTTTTTGCGAAGTGTTGATGCGGGTGCGGGTTTACATCCCACTACATTAGAAACACAGATTGTAGGCTGAGTCCCAAACATGGGGCAGGATGTTTATATCACACAATCACACAGGACTACTGGAAAGAGATGGCCAAGTGCTTCATCTTCAGGAACGACGGTGCTATTTGTGTGTAACGACACTTCGAGAGCTCCTGGGACTCAAGGCCTTGATTGAACACGACCCTTGATCTGAAGATCATTGATCCTCAAATTCAAGCACTGGATCCCCAATCGCCCCAAATCTCTCCATTGTTTGCTCTCTGAACAAGATCGGAAGGCTGTATTGCTCAATTTGCTGCTCGAGTTCGTTAGTGAAGTCGAATATTGATTTGCAATGGCTTAGAGTTTAGACTCTGGACGCTCCATAAATCTTACGGCGCAACCTTGTTAATTCCACACACACCTGTAAGCAACACAAACGTTGCAGCATCCTCATCCTCCCCCAGGAGAGGCAAAGAGAATCTCTCCTCCTCCACAATCTTTGGAGTCGCCTCAGCCTTGGAGCACGCACTGAGGAGTGTGTTCCATGCCGCAGATCCAGCAAAGAAGGGCATGTTTTCCAGGAGCTCCTCCGCATCCCTCACCAGTCCAGACCGGCCAAGCATGTCCACAACGCAGCAGTAGTGCTGGAATGTCGGACGGATGCCCCGGTCACTGTCCATGGACAAGAAATATTCCCTGCCGGCTCTCAGCAGGCCAATGTGGTTGCAAGCCGACAAGACCCCGACAAGAGTGTTGTCATTGCTCTTGACGCCCTCGAGATCCATGATCCGAAACAACCCAAGCGTATCACTCCCATGCCCGCTTTGGGCATGCGCCTGGATCAAAACATTCCACGACACCACATTCTTGTG